ATATATATTATACGCAAAAAATAAGCGGTGTTCTTGGAAAACTAGGTTGTGGGATACGCACTGTGATGAACCAAGATACAGCTCGAAAACCACAAAATATCGCCTTTATATCGAATTTGAATACCTCTTACTTTCCCATCCTTTTTGTTTGGAAATTTGACTGTCAGTGCCTACAGGTGTAACTAACGATGTTTTCTGAGATTGTTTTTCTCTGAGATACCCCTCTCGACACGAGCGGAGACAGAGAAACATTGCCGACTGATGATGTAGCAAAGCGGTTGGGGAAAGTTAAACAAAGCTATACAAGTCGTTGTAAGATTTTTCCACACAAAACAAGCAAACAAATCGACAACTGTACGAACAAACGTCAGTGCAAATTTTTGACAATGGTTGCTCTACTTGAAGCAGCAGCTTGACCTTACCCATACAAAGGGCCATACATGAATGCTGTGGTTCTCTTTTTTTTTTCATTTATATTACAGACGTTTCTCCTTTAATCCCCTTTTTTATATCTTTTTTTTCGTTGAATCCATCAAAGATGAAATGCTAGGACTTGCAAGATAAGGAAAAAATAGTTTCAAAAGGCTGTCATGATTCAACACAAGCAGACTGCAGGGGGGGAATGATGGAGTATGTGCCCGCGTCCGGTAAAGTTGATAACATAATATCGGTTACACAGCTCAGACACCGGCGCTCTCTTGGTCCTGTTTCATTCTTCATTTCCTCTCTTGTCTGCGTCTGCAACTATGAATACCATTTTCTCCAAGTCAAAGAAAAAACCCAAAAGTGACAAAAGACAGGGCGTCACTTAACATCACTCAGAAACATTCCTGTAGTCAAATCAGCATAAACATTAACATTGCAAGTGCTGTATAAGGAAATAGGCAGCACCAGTTATATCAGGACAATCGCTTTCTTCCTCACTAGGCTCCCCTCTCCCCACGCCCCCCTGCTCGTCACCCGTTGTCGTTTCCGCAGTATCGCAGGTCTTTGCCTCCTCGTCTTCATACGGGTTTGGGCCCTCGTCGATCTTTTCCACACTGCAGCTGGCACCTGGTTATTAGATAAATCTAGATTATATCTCCTACATTCTTAACAACTTTGTTCTGAATATCTCGCACAAAAATTGTTCTAGAATGTTGTGCTTTGGAACAGATGTTATTTATTCAAAAGAATATGATATACAATTCCACGAAAAAAAACGTGTTTTCGGTAAGGGAAATGGCTCAGAGAAAAAACACCCATAAACGCAGAATGCATCAATTTAAAAAGTCTTGCAAGGAAAGTTTTCTAATGATTGGTTTGCCTTTTTCTTCCTTCTTTCGATAACATTTCGAAGTTTAAAAAAACAAACATTTTTATTCTGGAATTCATAGAACCATTGCTCTACGCGTCCTCCTTTGGACTCGCTATATTTTAAATGCGTCGTTCGAAATGTCCAGTGGTGGTCAAACACTAGGACCCACCAAACCATGAGTGCTTAAAAACCATAATATACTATAACGCAGTACACCTTTCAGTATGGAGTGGCTTCTGGGGACAGTAGGGGGGAGGGGGGGATGCCCTATAGACAGCATTTTTGTAGTTGTCATATCCTGAAAGGTTAAAATGGGCTTTGCCACAGGACCAAATGTTATCGAGGAAATGCACATGCGTTTCAAGACGATCGACGAACCACGGGCACATTGCAATCCTCTGATCCCCATTGCAGGCTGAGAAGGATACGATACAACCGAGACGACCTTAATAAGCACGTCTCGGATATAACAATCCAGCAGACAGACTGGAATACTTGATAAAAATTCGCCCCACTTGAGAATCGATCTCGGGTTTCCTGTGTGCGACAGCGAAGCGCCTTACCGCTACACAACAGACGTGGATAGATCTACATCGTCTGTCTGCATTAACGAGCTAAAGAATTGAATCCACACATCCACAAAAAGACTTACCATACAGCCCCTTCAGCTGCGGCACAGTGAAGCATAGGGGGCGCGAATCTGGAGACAAAGAACGTATTATAAGGTATGTTATGCGTACACACACACACGCACAAACGCACGCACACAAACACACACACACACACACACACACACACACACGCTCGCGCGTGCACACACACACACATACACACACACACACACACACACACACACACACATACACACATACTTACATACATACACACACACACGCGCGCGCCAATGTGTGTATTTGTATATAAATAAAATACATAGGTTCGTCTGTCTGGCTGTTTGTCCGTCCGTCTTGTCTCTCTGTTTGTCTGTCTCTTTGTCTGTGTATTGACTTGATCCGGTTGTAACAGAAAATGAAAAGGAAAGAAGGTAGAAACTTTACAATCGATCCGGAGATGCATCTTGTTGTTCCTGTGTGCTTTTACACGATTAGAGAGGTTCCACCTCCTTCTGAGGGGTTGGAGACGAGGTTAGTGAGTATAGATCTAATGATTATTACTGACCCTTGTGAAACGTAACTGAGGAAAAGGGGGAGGGGGAGGGTGCCGTGGTAAGCACTGTCTTCAAAAATGTACCAATGATTATATGTGCCAAAATCTATGCAGTCTGAGATTTCGAATATCAACACATAGCTACCGACGCTAAACAATATTATAATGTGTTCTTACCTGGAAACTTTTCAAGGTCGTAGACAAAACACTCGAGAATGTGTCTGCCCTCGGGTTTCAAGAGAGATCTCATCAGATCGGCATATGTCTGTAAATCTTTCCTGAGCATGGCTCCCATAGAACCGAAGTCTACTATCACGTCAAATCTTCCTTCCACCGACCTGGAGCAAGGTGTAGCGGACACAGAACTGTTATATCCAATATAACAGTAGATCAAACGCAATTTCGTGACATAATATTTCGAACCGACACAAAGAAAAAACACACGAATTTGCACATTGTCGGAGAACTGTTGAATGAAATGATGTACCAGGACCATCAAACGAAAGTTTTCATTAGAGAGAAACTGTTATTATATTCTTATACAAATTGTACCCACATTATGTATTTTTCTTGCATTTTTTTTTCACCATTTAGAATTTGAATTTCGACAAAATATTACTCAAGTACATGCAATTTATACCACAGATTAAGAAACTGCAGGTGGCTCTCGTGGTCTAGAGAGTACACGTTGTCACCTCTCATTCAATACCTCCCTAGTTCGTAACCTTACAGCGACAGAAAATTTTCTTTTGTAAAAATATGCTTTCACCTCTTTTCCTGCTCTCTTACTATGTTCTTTAGTCTACTTTCATCTCCACTTTCTGCCCCCATCCCCATTCCTCTTTGTCCCCTCCTCTGGGCTCCTGACTCTTTCTGCAGGAGGTCCCATAATACAAGCTGCGCATGTTAAAGATCCCTTAGTGGTCCTAAAATCGATTGGAGTAGACTTCGGCCGCCACCCGGGGCAAAATTCTAAATTCCTACCAGGCAAAATGTTTAATGTGTCCCACACGCTCAGTATGACATTATGCAATAACGAGCGTCGTAAAACAGTAACGAAACCAAGAAATTGAAATTTAAAAAAAAAAAAGAAACTTTCAAAATGTTGGGATAAGTACACTTTAACAGCTGGCCCACGATGTTTCTAAGTACCGGTACACAATATGCATTCAGGATTTGTTTCATTCACGACACGGTGATGCCGCCTCGAATAAGAAGTTTTGTTAAGTATATTCCTAATGCGAGAAAATGTTTCATGTGTGGTCTCATTTCAGAGGGTTCTTTGTCTAACTTTGATTACCCTTTCAAACAAATTAGCTTCCATCCTAGCAGCCCATTATTATTTTAAAAGTGTTTTCACCACAAGATCGAATTATTAATGATTAATCATTTTCCTTTCAATGCATGCAAGGTATAAACAGAAATCTCTTAGTGCGGGTCATGTTTTCTAACTGCTTAAAATACTCACGTGTTGAAATTGAAGAGGTCACAGCAGTAGATTCTGATGTTAACGTTTTCATCTTTGCTCTGTCGAGACATGATTATTCGAAAGTTAAACTTCCGGAACGAACTTTCTGCCATGAAGTGGGCTATACATTCCAAAGTACATTCTTTCTTAAATTTATCATAATATGCTTTAAATCACGACAGCGGGAACCTGGTAACATTGAATATCAAACAAGCCATCTTCTTTATAACCAGTCGCAATGTGTAACGGCAACAAGAAAAACGGCAATAAAGAGAAAACAAAAGAAACAGAGAAAAGCCATCACACATTCAGTTGAAAGAGTGTATTCCTCGTGCGTATGTCTTACGAATAAGCTGATATTTATGTGCATTTTGCTCTTAAATTAAAGCTTAGATATTTTAATTTATCTCAAGAGCGAATTCCAGTTTCTCCCAATAGTTCGATTACTAAGAAAGTTACAGCAACAAAAATGTGTCAGAGTTGATCTCGGAGAACATAGGATTCATAAGACGGCCATACTCAGATTCTGGAGGCAAAAGTATACAAAACAGTACAACATAGATCTACCTTGAATAGTTTTCCTTTGACGGTGTCGCATGACTCCTGCGAGTAACCAATGTTGTTCCGTCCAAAAAACGATTTGATGCCAAGTTCGGAGCACTCAACACCGACTATCTCGTGTCCTTTATCCGCCAGGCTGTGTAGATTGTAATGTAAAGAGTAAACTGTAACTAAATCTACAAAAATACGTCGATGACCAACATGACAATTTAGTTATCTGCGTTAGATTAGAAATTCGAAAGGAACCATGAAAACGACGGACCACGTCCATTTGTAACGTATTTACTTTAGCGCTTCTGCTCATATGATATTATGTGCAGTAATATAGACAGCATAGATTATTTTAAGCAGTTGCCGTGCCATCGAGTTTCAGTCTTTTTGTTTGTTTAGTGGCAGGTGTGTGTGGTGGGGGGGGGTATGGGGGTTGTATAGAAAGATGCACAATATACATGTACTAAACAAGGGTGTCTTAAAGGATGTACAGAATACAAATGATAGGGGGATGTATTAAAGGATGTACAGTATACAAATAAGCGGCCGGGGGGGGGGGGGTGGCTATATTAAAGGATGCACAGTACATGTATACGAATAGGGGAGGAAGAAATGCATAAACTATTTTAAAAGGTCAGCTGCACATTATAATAGGTGGATGGGGAGTGCATGGTTGAAGACAAGAGAGAAAGTGAAGCAAAGGTCACTGTCAAGAGACTGGCATCACATCAAACTGCAGAATTGTTGCACCCTGGTGTGGATTGAAAGCAAAAGGGATACATGACGTACTTCTACCATTAATGACTCATCATGACGGATCAACCGTTCAAACGAAAAGTCATCGGAAAATTTGCTCAACACAATCATTTACATGAAGATCTATATATAGACGTAAAGGTTAGTCAAATTCCCTGGTTTCAAACGTGATATTGCCGCTAACAAGATTATTAAACTTTTGAATCTAGTTAGATTTTCACTTAGATTATCGCATGCGTGTTTCGTTGTCTTTTCAGCCATTATGCGTCCTTTATAATCTGAGTGATGTCAATGTTTGGTCACGGCAAGCCCTTTAATGTTAAGCCCTATGTCGTTTTAAGGATACGTGAGAAACTCATGAATAAAAACTGATTTGCGGACAGACAGATGGATGGCTGATGGGGAACGGCAAAATTTATGACAGGCAGGGGGATTTCTTAGAATCATTGTCACATTCAGTTCATAATAGCCAAGGATGCGTTATGCACGCAT